AAATTTTTTTTAAAAAGAAGTATACATCAACTTCAGGGAGAAGAAACTCAACTCAAACCTTTTCAGTTTGTCATTCCACCTCTAAAGATACCAAGATTTCAAAGTGGCAGGGGGTTAGGTGAAATATTGTTTAGAACCTTCCTACAAAATGTAATTTTTCAAACAATTAAGTACTTACAAATCATGGTATGACAACATTGAGGCCATAGACTTTACTAAAGCCAATATAGGGGAGGATATGGAATTAAGTTGATCGTATCAAATGAAGAATGAATCCTGTAATTTAATCTTAACCTCAAGACATATTAAAGTACCCAGCTTTGAGAATTACCAGGACACTGAATTTCATAATAGGTTTTTTCAACTTATGGATTGGTCAGAAGACATTTTGGAAGGGATGGTAGGGTGGAGAATGTTAGAAGATTTTTGTTGTCCTTAAGTATTTAGTTATCTAGGGATGCATTCAACCTTTAGTTCAACAACTACTTGATTTTTCAGATTATGGGAATCATTACATGGTTTGCACAGGATATCATTACAAACTTACATTTCGTGTGTATGTGTATGTGTGTGTGTATGTGTGTACGTGTGTGAGACACACAACCTAACATACCATTAGCCATTTTGAGGAGGAAACATTAATTTTCTCTAGCTTTTTAAGAACTTTGCTAAAAATTAAACAGTGAAGATACTGACTGTTGTAACCCATAGCCATAGTAGATAGACCCTGGTTAATAGGAGAAAAGCACAGCACAGAAGTCATATTCTTTAAAATTTCAGACATACTGAACCTGTTAAGAACAGAAGCCTCTCTGAGACCATCGCCCTGAAATACTCTTTAAACCTGAAACTCGAACTATCTCCCTTGCTTACCCTTTAGTGAAATGACAGATTGGCATGCAAAAGAAAAGATATTCCCCACAGAGCAGTGTTCCATTCGAAACCACATATATGAGACTGAAAGGTCAACTCTAAAGTAAATATGGGAAGCCAAGGGGACATGAAATTAGAGCTCTAGAAACCCAATTGTCACAAAGAATGTTGGCATATTGTGAGCAATGTAACAAATATCACTGAACAATTGTAGAAATTATCAAATGGAAACCCAGTTTTATGTATAAACTTTCTCCTAATACATAATAAAATGTCTCTTTTAAAAAATGCCAAACAACAAACCATTAATTAAAACATGCTTCGTTGTTAGCTAGATACAAGATGAGGGGGTTTCAGTTGTTGTTTTTGTTTGTTTCATGACGATTCTGAATTATTTTCTTCCATTTTGAGGTGCCCACGGTCCGCAGATGATGAGCGAAAACATCCTGTCCTGTGTCTTTTCTGTGGGGCCATCCTGTGCTCCCAGAACATTTGCTGCCAAGAGGTCATGAATGGGGAAGAGGTTGGAGCTTGTATTTTTCATGCACTCCACTGTGGAGCTGGGGTCTGCATTTTCCTAAAGTAAGTATTGAGTGATCTGAAATTCCTAATGAATTACAGCTAAGGAATCTGAATTCAATATGGGGACAAGAGTAGCCTTTTCTTTCCATTTTCCCTCTTATTACAAATTCTCTTACATAATCTCAATTATTAACTATAAAATATCTAATCATTGCTTAAAAGCATCTGTTAGATTATGAGGAACGATTCTGTGGAGATAAACCCAAACTCTTGTTTACTCCTAGAGAATCTACAGCTACTAAGGCCAGTCTGGAAACTCTGTGAGCTTTGATAAATGGTGATGTTATGGAAGGTCTTAAGGCCTTTTGTTCATGGGGTCACTATGAGTCGTGCTTAACTTGATCGCAATCAAAAACACAAGTCCAGCTACACACTCCAACTTTTAAAAAAAATTCTTAAATCTTAACACGTGTGTGAACCTTTTTCTGTCTCCTATTCCAAGTTTCCTCAAGGTGGCACTGTTTCATTTATATCTGCACCATTGTACACTTGCTTTACCCAAAGGAGACTGACACTTCCCTAGCCAGCCTTCATTCTGGCCCAGGATTATCAGACTAGATGTAGTTTGTTCGTCTCTTACACCCTTTACCCACTTTAGGTTATGGGTTAGGAAATAAATTCCACATGCCACCATTTTCCAAGGTGTCTGTGACTCAGGTAGGATAAACTTCTTCCTCTCTTTAATATATTCAGTCAGTACAACTGGTCCCATTTCCCTAAATCCAACTGAACTTTTTCCTTCATGTCAACAAAAACAGCAGTGTTCATTCTTTATTTAATTACAAAAATTACAAAAAAAAATAAATAAATTTACTAAATTACAAAAAGACATCTGGCTTGTCTTCTGTCAACTAGCTCTGGTATAAGTATTTCCCATTGATTATTTTGTCCTCCAGAATCAGAGAATGCAAAGTTGTGCTGGTTGAAGGTAAAGCCAGAGGCTGTTCATATCCAGCCCCCTACTTGGATGAATATGGAGAAACAGACCCTGGCCTGAAGTAAGATTTTTTTTCTATTTTTTTTAGTCTTACTGTTCAATATAGATGGTATTCATTGTTAGAACAAAAAAATTTAATACTAAATATTGAGAGATATGAATTAAAAGAATTAAGAATTATGTTAATTTCAATGTTATAAATAGCCCCCTTTAATCATATAGGTGAACTCTGGTGGCCTAGAGGTTAAAGAGTTACACCACCAACCAAAAGGCAGGCAGTTTGAATCCACCAACTGTTTTCTGGAGAAAGATGAACAGTCATCTCCTGAGTGATTTATAACCTCTGGATACCTGCTAGAGGGGCAGCTATGAGTCTGTTCCAACTTGATGACGAGGAGGTGGTGGTGCTGGTGGTGGTGGTGATGGTCACATAGAGATGTGTTTTTATTATGACAGAACTTGACCTGTAGAGAGGTAGACCTAGGTTATAGGAAGCAAAAATGGAATAGTGAAAGCAGTTAATGATTGAGTATAAGAAATCTGAATTGTTTCAGAATAGTTCATAAACAGAATTTTAGAACTTATACAGCAATTTAGAAATACCAAATCAAGACGCTAAGTGCCTCAAGGAGAAAAGATCTTCGAGTTCTTTATTACTGTTGTTGGTGAAGTCAGAACTGGCCCATGGCTGACCTTCCAGCACGTTTTCGGAGGCAGTTCATCTCACAGGAGGAGACTGCTTGTCTTTCTCCGGTGGAGCATCTGGTGGATTCAGACCATGCACTTTGTGTTGGCAATGCAGTTTCTTGCCACTAATCTACTAGATCTCCCTCTTCATTACTAGCAACAAACTTTTTTGTTAGTTGTAATATACTGTCACAAACCATGGAACTCTAGAATTAAAATGAAAACTCAGACTCACCGATGTCAAGTCAATTCCATCTTACAGCAAACCTCAGCCAGGTTTCTGACACTGTAAATCATGACAAGAGTAGACTGCCATCATGTTTAAACAGTTGCTAGTCACTAGTGTATGTGTTGTATCATAAGGACATCCAAAACCAAATATTTCTGAGTAACAGACTAGGCCTAACCTCTGCTATATAAAAAAATCAGAAATCAAAACTGGATAAGCCCCACTCAGGCTAATGAAGCCAAAAAAAGAATAATGTTGCTTAATAGAAGCTTAGCCTACCACTTAAATTCTTGAATACCCTGGATAGGTAAGCAATTTATCAAGTTCTTTGGATCCCTTTTAAATGCTGCATAGTAATTTCTCCAACTAGTAAGAGCATCTTAAAATTTCAAGACTTATTTAGGCAATAAAGAGGTAGTAATTGTTTAATTAATACTTGCATGGTTTTTTTCATTGTTTTTTCTCTTCTAAAGGAGGGGCAACCCCCTTCATTTATCTCGTGAGCGGTATCGGAAGCTCCATTTGGTCTGGCAACAGCACTGTATTATAGAAGAGATTGCTAGGAGCCAAGAAACTAATCAGATGCTATTTGGCTTCAACTGGCAGTTACTTTGAGCCAACTCTATCTCAGGACAATCATGGATGGATGGAGACAATAATGAAGACCAGCTCAAAATCATGGAGACTTTTCTGAGGGCTAGTAAAGGGTTGAAGAGTCTTGCTCTACATCCAGATTCACACACATCAATAAAATGTGTATTCCTTAATGGAGTATTGCTTTCAATTAGCATGCTTCAAGGAGAAAGAACATAGAACACTAAAAAAATGCTTGTTCACTCCAAGTGTCTGATCCTGCTCATATTTCTAATAAACCCATTCTTCATCATTAGCTCTCTCATTTAATTTTATTTTATCCATCTTATAAATGAAGTCATAGCAAACAATTATGGGCATTTTTATGTTGGCTAAATCATCTGCAGTTTTTATTTGGCATTCTTTTCATCTGACATGTTTAGTACATTGGATTACTGACAAGATTCTAATAATAATCTATGGGATCTTTCTTAAAGGCAACTGAGGATCATGTGCAGAAACCATACAATGTACTTAAGTTAGGGAAGACTTCTAAAAATAGCATTTCAATTGTCTTTTAAAGAGTTAAGATCCTCTCTATCTTCTTCTGTTGTCTCTGGGGTAATGAGTTAGAAGTTTGAAAGATGCATTCAAAGCCTGGATCTTATTTGGCCTATGATGTCTACTTCCGTGTCTTATTTAATGTTTGCCTTCGTTCTTTTTGCTCAGCAGAAAAGCAAGTAAAAATTTATTTGCTAAGTGATTGGTTAGTGATACATATTTGGAGTTTTGGGTTGTTTTTTTTTTTTAAATCTTTATGGAAAGTAAATAAAAGGTGGCTGGCTCTTTGTAATTAGGGATTGGCATGAGCAGGCATCAGAATCTCAGTCATCATTTTCTACTTGAATAATTACTCTTCAGAAAGCATCATGGAATAGGCACAACTCTAGTGAACACTTTGTAACAATTGGTAGATAAGGATCCAAAAATGCAGTATTCCGTTTGTCAGATTTGCTGACATGATTAAATGACTTGAACATTTCTTTCCCTTTGTTTCTTTTATCATTTTATCAACTGGATTGGTAGGGAAGTCTAAAACAGAATAGACAGATGCCTCAAATAAATGACTCTAAGATAAAATTGGGTTTTTATTTCTACATTTTGTATCCATTTCATAAATTCTTGGGTTATCAGGCCACCAGATGGGACTATCCAGGAATGGCCAGTCAGACCTTTACTGCCAAAGAACCCATTTCATAATGAGTTCTGCTTATTGGGATCACACCAGAACCTTGGACTGTAGATGAACTTAAGTCTCAGTGCTATTACCAATCCAAGGTGTTTCTTATTTTAATATGTAGTTTGCCTTCATCATTGCAAACGATTTAATTATGCTTATGAAATTTACAAACAAGCAACAGAGTCACTTTATTTTCTTTATAGTACAGTATGTGGAGGAGCTAGTTCAACAAGATGGCTCCAAGAATTTTTTTTTAATATTAGTTGAGGAGATGGCAGGAATTTTAAAGATTAAGTGAATAAAAACAAATATCTATATGTATAATTAATTTATTATGATGGTGTATGGACTGTGAGTTCACCCTTTTGTGGTCATTTGTCATTTCATAACAACTATGCATTTTGGTTCACTGTGATGATCTGTATTTAGTGACTGCAATATGTTTATACCACTGATTCAAATTCCATCCATGATGAAGTAACACAAATAATACATATATCAAAATCTTTTATTGGAAAATGTAAATTTGAAACTTGTATAATGTTCTTGTGCTTTTTGAAATAAAATAAATGTGTATATTTAACAAGAGATGTCTATGTGTATATTTTAAAAGGGACTTCTAATATATGACCTATAGATAGAAAGTGAGAACTCCTAGTGGCAAGAAGCTGCACTGCAATCCCAGATGTGCCTGCTTCGAATCCACCAGATGCTGTGCTGGAGGAGTGACAATCTCCTCCTGTACCAGTCAGATCTGATTTGACGGTACACACACAAAAAATAATAAAATTTAAAAAAATTTTTAAAAAGTGAGAACTGAGACACAAATGGAGAGCTGTATACCAATGTTCATAGCAGCACTACTCACCATCTCAGTAACATGGAAACAGCCCAAATGTCAACTATAATCTAATGGATTGAGATATTATGATACATTCACACGATGGAATACTACACAGCACACAGGAACATGAGTTTGTAAATTAGTACCTAACTTGGGAGGGACTGGAGAGCATTATGGTGATTGAACGAACTCGGTACCATAAGGACAAATTACAGTATGAGACCATTATTTTAGAACATGTGTGAGGAAGAGCATGTAAGGGGAAGAGCAGAGAGCTGAGGATTGGGGAGATTAATCATGTTGTTGTTGTTATGTGCTGTCAAGTTGCTTGCGACTCATAGCGACCCTATGTATGACAGCCCTAAACCCTGCTCTGTACTGTGCCAATCTCACTGTCTCTGACACACCCACCCTGATTACCCCAGTCACTGAATCAATCTACCTCACAGAGGGTCTTCACCTCCTGCGCTGTCCCTCCACCCTCCCCAGCATGACATCCATCTCGAAGGACTGGTCCCTCCTTACAACATGTCCAAAGTATGTCAGATAAAGCCTCAGAATCTTTGCCTCCAAGGAGCAGCCTGGTTTAACACTCTCCAGGATGAACCTGTTTGTTTTCTTAGCAGTCCATGGTACATTCAGTACTCTTATCCAGCACCACAGTTCAATGGCATCATTTCTTCTTCTATCCTCCCTACTCATTGTCCAACTCTCTGACACATAACAAGTGACTGCAAAGACAATCGCCTATATCAGGCACACCTCAGTCTCCATAATGACCATTGCTCTTCAGTACTTTGGAGAGGTCCCTAACAGCAGACTTTCCCATCACAATACATCTGGCCCAGTAGAGAGAATCTTTGTCTTCTTGACATTGAGCCTCAATCCATATTGGAGGCTGCAATCCTTGACCCTCTGCACCAAGCGCTTCAGGTCATCCTCAGTTTCAGCAAGCAGGGTTGTGTCATCTGCATAATACAGATTGTTGAGGGATCTTCCACCAATCCTAATGCCACACTTCTCATAGAGCCCAGCCTCACAGATGTTCTGCATACAGGTTGAAAAGGTATGGAGATAGGACACATCCCTAGAGTACACCCTTCCCAATTTTGAATCATGCAGTATTTCCTTGCTCTGTTCTGACAACTGCTTCCTGGTCCAAGTACAAGTTTCGTATTAGCAGGATCAAGTGTTCTGGGATTCCCATTATTGTCAGTCAGCCACAATTTGTTACGATCCACACAATCAAATGCCTTTGCGTAATCAATGAAACACAGACATTCCTCTGGTATTCTCTGCTTTCAGCTAAGATCCATCTAACATTAGCTACAATATCCCTAGTACCACGACCCCTTCTAAACCCAGCCTGGACTTCTGACAGTTCTCTGCTGTTGTGCTAAGAAGGATTGGCCATCCACTTCTGAAATAGCAGGACTCTGAAAATCCTATGTACAACAGAACCCACAGATTAACAGGACAACTGAGGTGGAGCTTTCAAGTATGGAAATACAAAGGAAGAGGAACAGCTGTAAGCAGACACTAGTGATTAGAACATGGAATGTGAGAACGATGAATGTAGGAAAACTAGAAATTGTTAAGGAAAAAATGGAACGCATAAAATATTGACATACTAGGTATTGGCGAGATGAGATGGACTGGCATGGGGCCATTTTGAATCAGATGATCATATGATGGATTACTCTGGAGATGAAAAGGTGAGGAAAAATTGGGTTGCTTTGATAGTTAAAAAAGTCATTTCTAGATCTGTCTTGAAATACAATATTGTGAGTGACAATATCCATACACATACAAGGAAATCCAGTGACTACCACTATCATTCAGATGTATGCACCAAGAACCAGAGCCAAAGAAGAGGAAATAGAAGATTTCTACCAACTTTTACAGTCAGAGATCGATCGAACATGCAATCAAGATGCATTGATAATAATGGGTGACTGAAATGCAAAAGTTGGGAACAGAGAAGAAGAATTAGTTGGAAAACATGGACTCAGTGACAGAAATGAAGCTGGAGATAGAATGATTGAATTTTGCACAATCAATGACTTATTCATTGCAAATATGTTTTATAAGAAACATAAACAGAGTTTATACACATGGATTTCAGCTGATGGTATGCATAGGAATCAGATTGATTACGTCTGTGGAAAGAACTGCTGGAGAAGCTCAATATCAGCTGTGAAAACTAGGCCAGGAGTGGATTGTGGAACAGACCACCAACTACTCATATGCAAGTTCAAGCTGAAAATTAAACCGAATCCATGGGAACCAAAATATGACCTTGAGTCTATTCCATCTGAATTTCAGAACCATCTCAGGAACAGGTTTGAAGGCTTCAACACAAATGAGCGAAGACCAGATGGGTAGTAGGAAGATACCAAGAGTATCATCCAGGAAGAGTGTAAAAGGTCATTACAGAGGAAGAGAAGACCAAAATGGATGTCTGAAGAAACTCTGAAGATTGCACCAGAGCACAGAGAAGCCAAAGCCGAAGGAAGAATTCAAGATACTAAAAAACTGAACAGAGGATTTCAAAAGGCAGCGCAGGATGACAAAACAAAATATTACAATGAAATGTGCAAGGAGCTGGAGTCAGAAAATCAAAAGGGCCAAACTCGTTCAGCATTTCTTAAGCTCAAGGAACTGAAGAACAAATTCAAACCTCAAGTTGCTATAATCAAGGCTGCTTTAGGCAGAATATTAAATGATTCAGGAATATTACAAGAAGATGGAAAGAATATACTGAGTCATTGTATTGAAAGGAATTAGCAGACACAGAAGAATTTCATGAAACACCATATGAGCAAGAACCTATGGTGATGAAGGAAGAAGTTCAAGCTGCTTTGAAGGAAATAGCAAAAAATAAGGGCCCAGGAATAGATAGTATACCAATTGACGTATTTCAACTAACAGATGCTGCCCTGAATGTGCTCACCAAGT